CTGGGAACACAGGCGACGGCGAAGATCTAGGCATCGAGAGCCGCACCGAAGACGATCCCGCAGCCATCATCGACGGCTCCCAGACCGTCCTGTTGATGCAGTTCCTGTGGTCCGCCGTCATTCTTATACTCCTAAGTATCCACCGGCAGTTAAAGCCATGCCAGCTTGCAGACCGTCTGGTCTGCCCTATGAACGATGACGGAGCAACCGCGACAAAAGTACGTCAGCGTTTGCTACATTCATGCTTGCATTTACCTTATCTCTGTCATGCCGCAGCATTATCGCTTTGCAGCTTTGCTTGAGTTGACCTTGTGGTTTGATCGGTTGCCATGCAGTTGTCAGCTGAGTTTGTGAATAACCTGGTGGCTGTGCTCAATGTCCTTGCATCCCAAGTGGCGACAGCTTTGGACACCCTGAACTTTGCCTTGATGACGGAGCGTGGTCGTCCGACTGACACGGTGGTGACCCCAAGAGCACCACGAAACTCCAGACATGGGTTGCGGCCCCGCATCATCACGGAGCACCCCTCATCTGACAGATCTCGATCCCCCACACATATTCGAATTCGACCGCTGGACACGTCATCTACCTGGTACATACCGGCTTTGTCCCCGCCTCGAGCGACACATCGTGATGCCAGTGACCACAATCCGGGAGCTCGGCCCGAATCGATGTTGGATCGACTACCACCTCCTCGTCCCCTTGCTCCTTTCGCGACACGCGGTGGACGAGAGCCAGGACAAACGACGCCTACGACACCTGATTCGGATTCTGATGGTTCGATACGTCCGCATCCAGGTGCCTCGTCGTTCCGGCCGTCGCCGACGGTGGTCCATGGTCCTCGAGAACTTCTACAAGAATTTACCATTGCACTTCGAAATGCGTACCGTGAACCTTTCACGGCACGGACACAGGGTGAGCTGGATGAAATGGTGAGACGGAAGAAGGATAAAGATTCCAGGCCCACCTATAAGACCATTGCGCGGTTTCTTCAGAAGCCGATTGAGGAAGTCAAGCAGGCATGGAAGGTCTATCAACAACTTGAAGCTCGCGGCTAGCAACATGCCCGACAAATGCAGCAACGACCATTGATGGACCAAATGATAAGCAGCGGCGGTGTGTCCGATTCGAGTTGTTGATCACATGATATTTGCTTGCTCGCATGTGACTCACTCTTGCTTGTCGTGTTGTGAGATGTCGTTGACATGCAGTGATGTCTTGCCTGAGTTGCTCAAATCATGTCGGAACAAGTTGTACAGACGTACATTACCTGGACCCATGGAGCGCAGCCGACGTGGTTACAATTTCATGGACCCGGGGCTCTACTCGACAGACCCATTCGGCTAACTACGTCACCTCCACCCCCGCCAAGTTTGCCATTGCTTCTTCCACCTCCTCCTCCACCACCACCACCACCACCGGTGATTCTTCACCCACAGTTTATGCCCTCGGTACGCAGCCCCTCGATCTCAGCCCCTCGCGGACAATCCTGCCCTACCTCTTCGAAATCGCAGCGCACACGCCGCTCGATCCACAGCAGTGACCCCTCCCGTGATGAAGAACCACGCAGTCCAGGGCGCTCGTCCAAACGATCTCGGACAGCATCAGCTTCAGCGCCGCGGCGATCTCGACGGCCCTTTACAGTGTTTTATTCCAAACGTGCTGGCCGTCATCGCAATCCCCCTCGGTGGCATGCAAGCATTACTGTCACGCCATCCTGCGCCATGGACGGAAATGTCTTTCCCCTTGTGCTCGTAGACGCCAGGTCACTATCATTGCAGGTGTGCGCGACATCAACGACAGTGAAAGCTAGGAGTCTGACATTTCCGACCTCGTTGCTGCGTTTCACCTTGTGTTTGAAAAGTTGCCTCACTCTTCAGCGTATATGTGCGGTTGGCAATGCATGTGTGTCCTTGCCGCAGACTTTCGATTGGTTCAACAGTCGTGCAAGCCCGTATTGCTGCTATGAACCCCCAGTATTTCGAGTACCAGATCGATAGAGGAGTTGAATGGATTCGAATTTACTCTCCGGGCATTTGGAGGCCCGTTCCCGATGAGGCGCCTGTTCCTGACCCACTGTACGCTTCCACGTATCGGGAGTGGCGCAGATCATATCACTTCCAAGTGTACTGGTCTGAAGACAGCACCGGTGGAACCACAATGGATCCTATAGCCACGCCCAGTTCCTATGTGTCCTACCACGTGTGGGAGTACCGAGACTGGCAAACACGAGGTTACCAACGACTTGGACCTCCTGTACAATCCATCGGATTCGCGATGCTCGTCAATGCAGACGTCGAGTCCTCGGTGGGCTCGTCGGTACCGGATGGGGCGTGGCGGGAACCGTCACCGCCGCCATTCCATGATCCTTGGAATGAGTCGGATTGACTCTTGAGTAGCATGTTGGACAAAGATGCGGTTGTGCTTGCTTTGCATGTGTGCTCACATTGGGTTGTCTTGCTTGGTGCTGTGCATGTCGTTTCAGTGTGTCCGCCGCTTTCCGTAACAACTTTGAGCAGCTTGTTGGGTTGAAATGTTCAATAGTACAGTGCAGGGTGCAGCACGATGGGTCCTACCTCGTTATTTTGACTATGACATCGCAATGGTCGAGCAGGAACGAGTGTGGAATGGATTCGAATCTATGTTCCGGGTCAGTGGCATCCAGTAGCCCCAGACACCCTGGGACCGGCCCCGGATGACTCGACCACCTATCGGGAATGGCGCAAGGTCCACCACTTCGAAGTGTACTGGCCCAGGGAAAGCACGGGCGGCACAACCACAGGCACGGTTCTGCAACCGGTATCGTACGCCACCTTCTACACTTGGTATTACAGGGACTGGGTCACCAGGGGGTATCAACGCCTGGGTCGTCCACATCCTAGCATAGCGAGGCCAGTTTTCGCTTCGGGTGCACCGGACCTCATGTATGCTGGAATGACTTCCTCCTCGGCATCATCTAATTCGCTTGATAGCTGATGCCCGTCCTCGCCTCCCTGGAGAGTCAGACTATGATGCTGGCGACGCACAGTGTTACAAAAGTGGTCTTTTGCATTATGATTGTTGACTTGCTTGCACTTGTTGTTGTCTGCAGCCGTACACCTATCAACTTGTCTTTCCGTGGTTGTGTTGTCATGGCGTGGCTGGAATGGTGTCCGGACCCTCAACAACCAGATGCCCAGTGGGTCAAGATCTTTCATCCGGGACCGTGGGCGCCGCAAGAAGAACATGATGATCCACCTCCTCCGCATACTTTTAGAGAATGGAGGGAGTTCTATGCACCCAACCAGGCCTCAGTCGGAGAGCAGGCCCAAGTCACTATGTGGTACAAACGAGACTGGGCCACAGAGGGCTATCGGAGAATCGCTGCCCCTCACGCTGGTCATGAATTTGATTCAGGGTATCCCTCCGATCATCACAGTGTGGCCACGCAGTCTGCGGCATTGAGTATGTCGCCAGAACTGTTAGACGCGATTCTCAGGTCCTCAGATGCAGCTGATTTCTCTACTGAAGAACTGACTCGTCTCCAGGAAGGGATTTCTCAACAACTGACAGCTCGCGCACGCCTAGCTTCCCATCCTCATCAACCAGTACGTGCGTCGCGTGGAAGCACATCATTGGAGACGATTGGGGTCTCCGACCCCTACCGGCCCGTTAATCCTTCCGACAGTGGCCGAGACAAGATGAGTCCCGTCTTCGAGCTCACTGAAGACTAGACTCGCATGAGCAGCGCAGCGTACAAAATAAGGGTGGTCTTTACACTTGCATGATCTTGCTTGGCTGTTGGTTGAACATGGTTGTGCATTGTGCTTGTTCATCTACTAGCCGGATCGGAGCCCGCGACAATTCTTGCCTCTTGCCTCGACATGGACATCGATGATTCGAAGCAGCACCCATGGCTTGAATATTCAGTCTGGCATGATCAGGAGTGGGTGCGGATATACACTCCAGGACATCCTCAACGATGGCACCGCGGGGACGCCTTACCAGATGTCCCTGAAAATTCGTTTCGTGAATGGAGACGGGTGACTGAGCCCGACGCGCCAGTCCAAGCATGGGACATCCGTGACTGGCAACACCAAGGGTACCAGCGCATCTTGTCTCGGATTGAGTCATTCACGACTCGCGATCCACATGATCAGACGCTTGGTCGAGTTCGAAACTCCGATGCCGTTCCGGTTGAGGAGACATTCACCTATGCCCCTCCGTTTTCTCAAGGTGATCGCCCGGCTGCTTCGCAAATCGCTTCAGTCCTCTATGGCGACACTCGCAATGCTCAACGTGGTGATCTTTCGTTCCCGTCTTCTGAGCGGTTCAGGGCGGTGTCTCGCTCCCCTCGCCGTGGAGGATATTTTGGTCAACGATAGAGAATTGAGTGTGAGCATTTGATCTTCCTGCAGGAGAAAAGAGAAACATCGCCCCTCGTAGAGGGGCGTGTGTGTGCGGAGTGACAGAATGCCCTGTCACCACCCTTTCGGTTTCGCAGCAGGGGGCGCAGGGAGTTTCAGCGAGTCCTGCGCCAACGAAGACGCTCGCTGTTTACTCGTGATATCCAGCCTGATCAGCTGGACGTACCTGCAATTGTGATGTTTGTGAATGTCCTTTTGGTCCCCCCCCTGAACCGCCGTTGCTTTGTGTGCCCCTGTTCAAGTAACTAGAGTGAAGCTGAGTGATGTGCGAGTCGAAGCTCACCATACTCGAGACTCATCAGTTGTACTCGAAACTCATCAGTTGTACTCGAAAGATTAGCACTCTCCATCTGGAGTTCAAGTGTGTGTCGGTGATTGTCCCTCTCTAATCCTGTGGCTGCTTGCGAGAACCGTCCCGCTTACTGCGAGGGTTCGGTGTGGGTGGAGCTCGAGGAAGCAGGGAACTTCTCTTCGCTATATCTCGGTAGTGAGAGCATGTTGACCTGTAAATAGCAACCAACGTTAAGGTTTCAATGGTTTCATTTCGTGGTGCAAATGATTTTTTGTCCATCCACAGTCTCCACCGCTTCTGAGGTTCAGCGGGAACTTGGAGCTCTGCTCCTGGGCACTGAGCGATGCTTTCGTGGGGGACACCTTCGTCTGCATCGAGGCGAAAGCGACCCTTTTTTGGGGCTACCTGGTTTGGGGCTTCCCCTATGTTGGACACATGCCCATTTGTCTGGGGGAGATTGAAGACTGGGGACCACAGGTTTCCTGTTGGATCAGTTTGGCAATGAGCAGAAATTGGGCCCAGTGGTTGCCCGAACAAGGGAATCACAGTTCTTTGCAACTTTTCCCGTATGAAATTGCAGGCTTTTCGTGGTTTGTGTTTGCTTCACTTGCAATATGTAGGGATTCCACGGCAGCCGCGCTAGGTGCTGGACGAGCTCCAAAGCCTTGAGCAGCAGAGGACAGAGCCAATGATCCCACAGACGTGTCGGTAGCGAGATGCTTTGGCACATGTTTTGTCTTTGTGTGGGTTCCATGTAAGGACATGTGATGGAACGAAATCTGATGGCCAATGGCTTTTCGAGTGAAGCTCATTCAAAGAAGTTCAACTGCGCTCCTCATTTCAAGTAACCCAGACATGTGGGCATGGGTCAAAATCTCGTACCCCCAGTGAACATCCCAATCCCCACTAAAATAGGTTCTAAATTGGGTGGTGCACCTACCCCAAAATGGTACCATTGGTTTTGACCCACAGCCATGTGTTTTTTTGTGACAGGAGAGGCACCTTCCGGCGGCTGGAGTCAGAGTTTGACGTGATCAGCAAGGTGCGTTTTTTTTTTTTTGCACGAGGCTTGAGACCGGTGCCATCTCTGAATGACACTTGGGATCCATTTGACCCGGAGGTTTGATGATATTTTGCCGCGCTCGACCCAATTGGCTCAAGAGACTGCGACCTATCTCGAAGCTCGGCATTTTCCGTTTGCCCCATGGAGCCAGCGGGAGTTGCCATTTCGGCATTTCTTTGCATCCACTTCGGACATGTTGACCACCAGCCCGCTGTAGCAGAAGCTACGCACCCAGACCTCTTCGGTTCAGTGCCAGGTTGAAGAGGCATGAACACGACGTCCGGCGTGAGATGTCCTTCGTGGTGGCATATTGGGAGTGCACATTGTCGCCGTATGCCTGGCAATAGTTTTGGATATGTCTCGCCTTTTCCCGGTCTGATTATTATCGCTGGTCATTATGGTTTTCACCGTATGTCTGCATCCCATCGGCATGGTTTTTGGCCTATCCGCTGAGAAAGGCATCATGGCTGTGAACACGAGGCTGACCGCGCCCACCCAAGTGCATGACTCCGCGATCGCTATCTCACAGCGGAGCAACATAGACTTCGTCTCCGAAGCCGTTCAGTTGGCAATTGTGGTCTCAGTGTCTATCTTTCTGGAATCTAGTATCAGCTCTCAGATCGAGTGCACATGCTGACTCCATCTTGGCTGGTTTCCGCAGGCTGCTCCCGGGTGTGTGTGTGTGTGCGCGTGATGGCGAGCTCTTATTGGACAGCCACTTGAGTATTCAGGGAGAGCCTCAGAGCCTGAAGCACCTGGTGAGCACCTCTCTGAATGATAAATCCTTCGAGTCGGATCCCGAAGCCACGATTGGCTGAGCTGATTTCAACGGAGATTTGAAGGAGGCAACTATCCTACCGTGCATGCGTGCTGCCTTTCGAGAAGATGCAGAGTCAAGAATTCCCGATGCCACATCCGAGCTGCCGCACTTTTCAAGGAAAGGCAGGACTCGTTCTGTCCGGTCCCAACAGTCCGTGAGGTCATCCTCTTTGGCGTGGAGCTGCGCTTCAGAAAAGACCTACCCAGCAGTGGAAGCCTTTTTGCTGATTGATACCTGCAGCAAGACGTTGGACATCTGCCAGGCCCATCTGCGCTATGGTGAGCTGAACCTTCCATCTATTTCCCCCCCCAAGCAGACTGCAGACTGGTCCATGGTCAGAGGAATAGAGCAGGCCTATGCTCGAGGCCAGCACAGGGAGTTCAATTTGGCCCTTTATACATCCTGGCAATTGCTGGCTGAGAACGTGATACTCTCAAGGGCAGCTTCAGGTTTGGATTCGCCTCCGGAAACGAAGCTGTGGTTGCGGTTGCGGAGCTTGCAGTCCGTGCCCATACTCCATCTCTTGATGGCCACAATATATAAGATAAGAGTCTCACATCGATCGATGTCCTAGCAAAGTGCTTGACCCAAAGGAGAATCCGAGTGCCTGGTTTCAACCACATGGGTTGCCAACCTGGACTGCTTCAAACTTTGGGACCCCGGCGACACAACATGATAGGGTTCCAGAAGGGTCTCTCTCTCTCTCTCATTTTTGCCCACGCTCGCTGCCAGGTGATGTCGCTCTGGGCTTTCCACCAGCGCCAGACCCTGGAGGATCGAGAAGACTTTGACTCGAGGTGGACTTTGACTCGGGGATATTTTTCGATCCCCTTCGCAAAAGAAGCGGCATGGGGTTCCCTCGAATCCATGGGACCTCCCCGAAATACATCAGGGTGGACTCCTCGAATCCGAGTGACCCATTTCGTCTTCGGCGCTTCGGACCTCGACAGCTTTTCTCAAAGAGCCATGCGGCATCTGAGTTCTCCCACCTTTTCTACCGAACCGTTCGACGTTCGGGGGTCGGTCCTGGTGTGGGCCATTTTCCTCGAGGGTCTTTATGTCGAACGGTTCCGGCTGTGAAAGAGGACCCGGAACCCGGCAAGTGCAGCTCGCTGGCGGTGCTGAAGAAGGCCTTGGCCCGAGTGGTTTTTTTGGGATCTTCTTTTTTTTTTGCACATGGGTGTGGCTCAATTGTTTTCAGAGCTGCGCAGGTTCCACATTTTGGAGCCACAGCCACATGGAATCTCTTGCGGGGAACCCGCTTTTTGGGTCCATGTTAGTCTACAGGGGAGTATGTTGGGAATTGCCCATTGAGTGCTAAGAGACTTGGCAACCCCCTTTTGGTATTGTGTCACAAAGCGGTTTACTTGGTTGAGTTGGACGGATTAACAAGCCCCGATTGATTAGTATCTGCCAGGCCGGGTCAAAGCTACTCCTTGGTTCGTCCTTCAATGCGTTCAAGTTTGGAACAACGACTGTTTGCCGACTATGTCGCAAGAACATCAAGTCTTTGCAGGGCTTCAAAGGCCCACGCACAGAATTTGAAAATGGGAGATGGCGATTTCGCCCCAATTTCCAACAAGTGTTGCTTTTCTGTCTTGCAGTATTCGTGTTGAGGAGATCCACTGTAATTTCCACAATGCCTTGTCCTTCTCCAGGAAGGATAACACATGCTCCGTGCTCAAGGCACAACGGTGTTGCTTGGGTAAACCATTCTGGTTGGCAGAAGCCTTTTGTTACATAGTTCCATCCGGTTTCTTTCTCACTGGACATGGCTTAGCAGAGAATTTGTGGGCGAGATAGTTCCACGAGACATGACGTTTTGCCCGATCAGTGTGCCAATGGTGGCAAGAAATGGCTTGAGCCCAAAGACCATTCCAAGAAGGCTTCGCTTCGGATTTGCTGCTCGAGACGGGTAGTGCTTTTTCCCGTCCAAGCATTCGGCGAGTCGTCCGTCGAAGAATCTTCCCGGGGGGGGAGACATCCTCTTTGGGAGTCTTAGGCAAGCCAAAGGGAGACCACGCATTTTGAGCCTCATTTAAGGAGTATGGACTTTTATTTAATGGACGCCTCTTCAATGATCCGACCTCAGCCATTGGCCTTGCGTCCTCCAAACAATGGCCAACGTGTTTTGAGCATAGGATTGGTCATGGACCTCCAAGGGCGCTATGGGGAGGGGCCGGGGGGCGATCCCCTAAACCTTGGGTTTCCTTTGGGCAACTTCCTTCGGGCGAGTCTCTCGCGCTCGCGAGGCTGCCTTCCTGCTGCAGGGGGTGATGCTGCGCCTGCCGCCGCAGAAGCTGCTGGCGCGGATCGAGGACACCTTTTTGTCCATGTTCGGAGGTTGGAAGATCGGTGGCTCGAAAGATGAGCGCTTGGGACCCAGGTTAGGGACCGGAAGCCCTACCTGAAGGGGAGGCTGCCGGAAATACTGCAACCAGCACCGTTTGACGTCATTGTCCAGTCCCGCAGCCCAGGAACCACAAGGCAGGTCGCCCCCCATTGCACGATTCCATGTGAGGGGAACCGCGGGAATAGGTGGTGTTCCCCTTGAATTCACTGAGCAGAATACTGAATACTCTCCACTGCTCCGAGACTGCCAAGTAATCGGCCACAACCTCGACGCTCCTTCAGGGCGACCTTTAGCATCATTGAGGGTTTTACACCGGTACCTGCAAAACAATGTTGGATTTCGAGTCATACTGTTTGCACGCAGTTTGTGTCAACACGTGAAGCGGCCCATGAATAGATCCTAGTGACTTGAGGATTCATAGGTCCCTGGTGGGGATCCTTTGGTTGCACTCCCCCCATGGGCTCAGGATGGTTCAGACTGACATATGTGCCAATGTCAAAACGAGTTTATAGGGATGGTCCACCTGGTAATCATTGGAATCATCCAGAACCAGAACAAAACTTAGCATATGCACCATTATGCGCTCATGGATACTATCATCAGGATGCTGAACTACAATCCATAATTCTTAATATCATGGTTGCTAATTGCCTTTGGGGACATTACTTTGGGTTGTTAATATGGTTGTTGTTCCCATGAGCTACGAGTAATGATCCCAAAACGGAGCTTTGACCTGGCTCAGACAAAAGACCCCCCGTTCACCCGCGGCAAGGAGTTCCAGGAGTCCGAGGTCTTAGTGCGCATTGCCCGGTGCCAAGTTTGGAGTCCGAGTCAATGAATGATTGATACTATATGTCTATCATATATATATACGTATATATATATATGTATATATATATATATATGTATATATATATATATATGTAGGTATATATCGATACATGGATATGTGTATATGCATATATCCCGCTCTCGATATATGGCTACATATGTACACGTGGACACATGGATATACACAGACAGTGTCCAATTTGATAAACCTTTTAACTGGTTGTTTGTTTATTTTGTTGGGGCGGTTTCCTCCAAAAGGGTCCCTAGTGTAGGCACAGGGCCGTATAAACTGAGGCCATATTCACTGGACCTGTTCGCACACCATGCCATTTCGTGAAGCTCGAAAACGGCATCCTTTCGATTTCCCTCCATGCAACATGAGCATGCTCTTTGCAGTCGATTGAGATGTAGCAGTGACAAAGGAGCAGGATAGACAGCTTGGAGTGGCAGGCACATAGTGGCTGCAGTTGCTTCTGTGGAGTTCTCACCGAGGTGCAGCTGTCACCAAGGGTTGCATCACAACTTGTTTTGCAAGAGCACCCCTGTGCTCTCGCATTGGTGTCAACCTCCAAATGAAGCCTAGCCACATGCCAACATATGTCTTTCATTCTCAGTCCATGGCCTTCAGTGAGATCCAAGGCTCAGTCGAAGCACCGCCTTTTGAGCTAGGTGTTGGGGAACAGCGAGGATTCCTTCGACATGTGCGACGGCTGCTTCGCCTTTCTCGGAGCCTTTCTCCCACGAGAGAGGCTTGTTTACATTGATAGACCGGTATACGTTGAGGTTGAGAAGCTGGTCGATAGAATAGTGCACGTTGAGAAGCCGGTTGACAGAATAGTGTACGTTGAGAAGCCAGCACAGATGTCAGAGCAGAAGATCCCTGCATGGACAAAGAAGGCTACGCAGTACGAGCCGTGGAAGTTTGCTTTCTTGTCGGATGCCTTTGCCAATCTGGCATGCAAGGGCAAGCCCAACGAAAGCTTCAATTTAAATTTCCACCTGGATGGCTTTTACGCCTTTGATGAGATTGAGGCCATGGCTTCAGACTGGACATTGGACTTGCGTGAGGTACTTTTGCTTGGGTACATGGATCATGACAACCAATGTGATTTCAGGCATCGACGAGTGCTTGACGAGAACAGTTGCAGAGGCATCAGACTGATGGTGAAGTTGGGAGTTCCTTTGCACGAAGGCTTGCGACACCTTTTGAGAGAAGCTCAACTGTTTCGAACCGGGTCTGACCGGGATCTACAGCAAGACTACCGCAACGCCATGCTGAAGCTGACAGCTTTTTGCGATGCGATCAAGGCCGCAGGGCGGGCTGCTGAACTCGCCGAGATTCTGAACAGCGATTGTCAGCAGGAGTTGTTGGAAGCCATCAGTGGACAGGACAATTTGGATCCTGAGCTCCTGGGAGAAACCCAGGCCTTCTTCATTTTGGCGATTCTGCGTGAAGCTAGAGCTTGCGGCTTGCAAATCAGAAGCTTCGACGTTTGCAGGCCAGATGGGTCAGTCTGCAGAAACAGTTTGCTTTGCAGCATATATTATACGGTAAGAGAGCACATCAGTGAGCCGGATTACTGGAGCAGAGACATCCAAAAGCGTGCCGACGTGTATCGTCAGATGTTTGAGGTTCTTCAAGCATGGCGCATGGCCGATAGCATGGAACTTGCATTGATTGTCAAGAGGCTCTACCAAAGTGGGCTGCCCCGATCGGCATGTCTGACGGTCCTGCATTTTCTCGTGGGCTGTGAGCGTGATGGACGTCCTGCAAGGCCTCCAATGTGTGGGAGCTTCCGCCCAAACTGGAAATGGAAGTATTGTGAGGAATCTCAAAGTAGCGCTGAAGATTTTTGAGCCGGGAACGTGAGTGGGAAAACGGCCGCGCTTGGCACTTTTGGATGGCATGGAGGTTGGGTGAACTGATGTCAATCACGGTACAAACCACTCGGCCTGGGATGAGTGGCACAAGTTCCAGCATGTGAACCTGCCTCCTGAATGCCAACTATACGTTATGGCGGACACCTGGCAAAAAGCGGGTAATTATTCGAACGGAATGCAGGAAGAGTCAGCTTGGCTCAGTTCTCAGCTTAGGCCTTGGCCACGATTCACAGCAATGCGCAGCTCAGGCGTGGGCACCTAACCCAAGCTCTCGCTGGCAGGGTTCGGGTTCGTTGCGGCCTTCCTCTGTAGAAAATATGTGTGTGTGTTTTTTGCCGTGCTATGTTTCTGAAGAATTTAACTCAACTTGGGTTGAGACAGAGGATTTGCATAAAGCTCAAAGTGGAGCCGCTTCTAATCATAGAATCAAGCCTCTCGCGATGGTGGCAATCCGACAGCAGAAAGCAGCCAGGCTGCAGATGGCTGTGAACTATGCAGAGAACAACGTCATTCCTGTCATGGTGGCGTGCTTGCAGGCAGGGAGGATTTACAGAAGGCGAAGCTTTTGGTGTGCGAACTGCAACTTGAGGCTTTTTCCCCTCGGCTGGTACCCCTCTAAAGGACCATACGACTCCCGCAAGCACTCCTATAAACTATATCCATCCCAGCAGATAGTCCGGCATTTGCTCTGGATTGCGCTCGCCCGCAGTTGCTGCTCCGCGGTTATGAGATCGAGGGAGGGGCGCCTACAACTCCCGAGGTGGAGGCCGGATTGGCTTTCTGTCTTGCTTTCAGGAAGCAGCCGTAGCTTCTCCCAGTTTTCGGTTCAGGAAGCCTAGGAAGTCCTTGATGAAACTGTAAACAACATCTGCTTTCGATATGTTTCCACCTAATTGAGCCCGGCATGTGCCGGGCCTCCACAGCAGAGCCGGCTGCAGGTGGCATTTGAGCTATTCGGGGACGACCGACTGCCAGTGGATGGCTGGCGTCCTGCTCAGGGCGTGAAGCGCAGACTCTCACGCTTGACTCTGTGGGATTCTTGTGGCCATCTGCCATATGGCATGGATGTGAGCTTGAATCGTCGATCATGACTTGGAGTCAGCACACCCCAGTCTTCAAGCCAGCAACAGAGAGTACATCCCCCATGGGGCCTCACACACACGGCCAGGCTGCTTCATGTGTGGGGCGCAGAATGTCACAGAGAGAGAGAGAGAGAGAGCGAGAAAGAAAGAAAGAAAGAAAGAAAGAAAGAAAGAAAGAAAGAAAGAAAGAAAGAAAGAAAGAAAGAAAGAAAGAAAGAAAGAAAGGAAGAAAGGAAGGAACGGAAGGAAGGAAGGAAGGAAGGAAGGAAAGGAAGGAAGGAAGGAAGGAAGGAAGGAAAGAAAGAAAGAAGAGAAAATAAAGCAAGCAAGCAAGCAAGCAAGCAAGCAAGCAAGCAAGAAATAAAGAAAGAAAGAAAGAAAGGAAGGAACGGAAGGAAGGAAGGAAGGAAGGAAGGAAGGAAAGAAAGAAAGAAAGAAGAGAAAAGAAAGCAAGCAAGCAAGCAAGAAAGAAAGAAAGACAGAAAGACAGAAAGAAAGAAAGAAAGAAAGGAAGGAAAGGAAGGAAGGAAGGAAGGAAGGAAGGAAAGGAAGGAAGGAAGGAAGGAAGGAAGGAAAGAAAGAAAGAAGAGAAAATAAAGCAAGCAAGCAAGCAAGCAAGCAAGAAAGAAAGAAAGAAAGAAGGAAAGAAAGGAAGGAACGGAAGGAAGGAAGGAAGGAAGGAAGGAAGGAAGGAAGGAAGGAAGGAAGGAAGGAAGGAAGGAAGAAAGGAAGGAAGGAAGGAAGGAAGGAAGGAAGGAAGGAAGGAAGGAAGGACATAAAGAAAGAAAGAAAGAAGAGAAAAGAAACCAAGCAAGCAAGCAAGAAAGAAAGAAAGGAAGGAAAGAAATAAAGGAACGGAAGGAAGGAAGGAAGGAAGGAAGGAAGGAAGGAAGGAAGGAAGGAAGGAAGGAAATAAAGAAAGAAAGCAAGCAAGCAAGCAAGCAAGAAAGAAAGAAAGAAAGAAAGGAAGGAAAGAAAGGAAGGAAGGAAGGAAAGAAGGAAAGAAAGAAAGAAGAGAAAAGAAAGCAAGCAAGCAAGCAAGCAAGCAAGCAAGCAAGCAAGCAAGCAAGCAAGCAAGCAAGCAAGCAAGCAAGCAAGCAAGAAAGAAAGAAAGAAAGAAAGAAAGAAGAGAAAGAAGAGAAAGAAGAGAAAAGAAAGCAAGCAAGCAAGCAAGAAAGAAAACAATAAAGAAAGGAAGGAAGGAAGGAAAGAAAGAAAGAAAGAAAGAAAGAGAGAAAGAAATAGGAACGATCTAACTGCTTGTGATCACTCTGAGCGCACACCGGAATGTTAGAGGCACGACCAGCGAAGAGCAGCAGATGAGAATCCAGCTGGCCTAGGTCATACATCGCCTACTGCTTGGAGGCATGCGCCCGGATGGGAGAGCTCGAGCTCGACTGTTTGCAAAGAATGGGCGGTTGCATCAGGTTTTGTTGTGTGGGTCCATATGGCTGTGTGCCAAAAATCACAAAGCCATGGTTTTGAGGAAGCCAACCCCGGTCCAGCGTACCCCAGCGGCTTAAGCATTCAATCAAAGACCTTTTCTCAGGACACCCCAAAGACACCTCTTCCCCCCCCCCAAACACACCTCAAAAGGCTGTAGGTCAAAAACATGTACCCAAAATGGAACCCTGGTAAATGGAAACATGGACCAAAACCCGCTTCAGAGGGAGCTCGGTCGATATCCAGCCGTCCATGCTCATTTTGGGAGGGACATAGGGGGCTCGCTAGATTCCACATTCCATGTAACTCTGGAGGAACTCTCGTGCCAGCCCAAGGTGTGCTTGCATGTGCTGCGGGCGCCTCAGACTTATCGATGAACCACCAGGTGCGATCCACGAAAGGGAGCATACATCATGGGCTTTGATCGGGAGCGCACTATAAATGTACCTACTCCCAGCGTTTCGTTTTCCATTCTGGGGGCCACCCTGCCCGCCCGCTTGTTCAAGATTGTGCCCTGCAGTCCAACTCCCAAAGAGTTTCATGGTCTCAGCTTGGAGCTGTCCAACCGGGGGCGCCTATGTGGGTGGTTTTTGTAAGGTTGGACCTCCCAACGGAGTGGTTTCCTTTTGCTTCGCCTTGCACAACACCCAAAAAGGGATACCCTCAAAGCAAGACACACCTCCATTTCCAGCAAAGAGGGGGCACGCTTAAGACACTACCTGAAAAAAAGCAAAACAAAAACAAATCAACCGCAACAGGGCGGAAGGGGGTGGCCTCAAACCAAAGACGAGGCACCCATTCCATGCCCGGCCGCCGCCCGGAGGTCCCACTGGTCCTGCACCAAGCTGGCCGCCCCGAAGGCCTCGGCTTGCGGTCAGTGGCTTACGTTTTTTTTCTTTCTCCGTTTGGGGTAGCCTTTTAAACAAGAGGCGTTTGGTGTTTTTTTGTTTCGGGTTGAGGGGAGAAAGAGAAGCCACTTCTTTGGGTCTTTGCGTCTTTGGGTCTTTGGGGGGGGAGGTCGATTTCTTTTTGAGCCAACCAGGTGCTTTTCCCAAGAGAACGGCCTCGGAGACATATCGTCCTTGTTCCAGGTGGCGGGAACAATGGGTTTTTCCCACTTTGTCTTGACTCAGACTCTTAAGACTTCCTGGAAAGATCACAGCCGTAACACTGGCCAGGCCTGTTCGGTAGGTGGCATGAACGACTTGCTGCAACAGCCATGCCAATTCATGATGTGAAGGCCCCATTGCTGCAAAGCGAGGGGGAACCTAATTTTTGGAGGGTTCGGGTTTCCCCGTTTTGGGTTCTTCGCAGGAACCGGTGTCCCTTTCCCACTGGTCCGGAACGAGTCGCTTGTTGTACCTGAATCTGAAACTCAACGCGGAGGTTCGAAATGGACAGACACTGCTGCTGGGTGTGTCCTTTTTTTGGGCACCATTTTTTTGGTGGTGTTTTGCAGAAAACCAAACGAAGCACCGAAAACTCCACCTTGGAGGGACCCCCCAAAATAAGACACATAGCCACGGTTTGAGGAAACCAACCCCGGTCCAGTGTACCCCAGCGGCTTAAGCATTCAATCATAGACCTGTTCTCAGGACCCCCCAAAGACACCTCCCCCCCCCAAACACACCCCTCAATTCATCTAGTTGAGTTTTTTTTCAAGGGTTTAAGGGGGTGTGATCCTATAGGTCTGAGAAATATTCAGCTAGAGGTGTCAGAAAGGTTACCACGGGGATAACTGGCTTGTGGCAGCCAAAGCGTTCATAGCGACGTAGCTTTTTGATCCTTCGATGTCGGCTCTTGGGTGTTTGGGGACGAAGCTGGGGCCCCAGATCTGACCTTTGATAGGCGCCCGAAGTGCTGGACCCGGGCGCGGCGCCGGTGCGGCTGGCCTCTGCAGGCGGGAAAGCTCGGGCGGAAACCTGTAAAAACAGGGGCTCCTTAAATGAGCCACTGAAGATGTGTAAAATATATATATATATATATGTATATATATATATATATACACACATATATATATATATATAATGTGTATATATGTTCCAGTCTTCCTTGACCCCCCCCCCCCTCCAATGCAGTCACAAAGGTAGCACAGTGCGAGAGTACGAGCCCCCCGCCTGTGGGATGGGTGGGGGAGGTTGGGGTCCAGAGCAACAGTACAAGCCCGCCCTCTGTATGGGTGGGGCCACGGTTCCCCCGCCCTTGGAGCTCACATGGGCAATTACTTGTTCGTGATCCCTGCCATTTGTTTGGGGACGTTGGGCCGGGTCCACGGTGTCGTCAGAGCACGTCCCCGTCGCTCCCTCGAGGTGTGGTGGATGTCTTAGCTGAGCTGATTGACGCGCCTGCCGCTGGCGTGGAGCTGCCGGGGCACAAAGATGGGCGGGCCCCTTCATGGCTATGCACCTTAAGATGTGCCTTTGTTTTGGACCCCTTTTTCTTTTTTCTTCTTCTTTTTTTCGTGAGGAAGCCCACCATTGTGGGGGAGCCAGGTTTTGATTCTGACTCACGTGGGGGGTTCATCCATCTTGCAGAAAACTTTTCCCATGCGGGAAAGATCAGGCTTTTTTTTTTTTTCTGGAAAAGCCCCCAGTGGTCATTTCATGTTTACCGGACCCACCCCTCGGAGATCAGCGCTGAAGGCGGGGGCAGCCTCCTACGGCCTTGGTGCAGAAGGCGGGCCCCAACGGGATGGGGCAATGAATTTTTGATGCTCCAAGAAGATGCTGAACTCAACGATGGGCGGCTCAGTGATGACTCTGCATATATCGTTGCGAATACTGCTTAGTTGCCCTTTCCAACACGAGACAAATTGGGCACCCTCTAGATCCTGCTGTGAATCGAGGCTTGCGAGACGCTCCAAGCGCTGTTCGAGCGCAACGGGCACATTTGCCTCTTCTGCATGAAGCACTATGCGGAGGCGCGATTTCGCGGCTTCGAGCCTGGGATTTTGTTGATGTAGCCCATGGAATGAGCTGATGTCCACCATTCACTCCAGAATGGTGGACATCGGTACCCACCAGAGACTTCAAGCGATGCAGGTGAAGCAGATCCTTCTCGTGGGTTGCGACAGCCAGCGTCTCGTTGGGCCTGCGCAGCCTCTCCCAGCGCTTGCCACGCCATTCATGGCTCTTCATCCCCGAAAGCTCAGGTATTGTGGCAGATCCTCTGAGTAATCATCCCGAGATGCAGCAGGAGGCAAGCACTCAAGTCCCGAGGCTTGACGGCCATTTGGGGTTTTTGAGTATTGAGGCGATCACGGCTGATGGGAAGTCACCAAACACATCACCTACGGACGGAGTGAGTTGGGTTTCGCGAAGATGTTGAGCCAGTGGAGGCCATCGACCTGTTCACCAGCGCCTTCGAGAAGTTTGCAATGAAGGCAGCCGGTCACCGGGAGGGCGAGGGCGTGCTGAGCGGTTTACGGGGCTGGCGATTTTTGGTCTAGTCGCTTCATCCAACATTTCGAGACCCTGGGCGACCGACAAGCTTGATTTTAGTCGGTTTTGACTTGACACAGGCTGGAATTGCGCTGGATTGCACTGGAGAAGCTTAAGGGCTTGAGGCCAGTCCCAAGACGAAAGAAGTTTTCAAGCGCAAGTTTCCCTACGATTCACCAGCGCAACTGGAAGAGCGTAGCATCTTTGTCTCCTTGTCGGAACGTCTGCTAAAACACTTCACGCGGCAAGCGATACACTTGTGGTATGGAGCGCCCCGGACCCGGACATTGCCCTGAACAAATCGGTGGATTGTATCCGAGGAAAGCAATCATGGGTCCGATTCTGTCGCAGGATGAGCGGCTGAGCCGGAAACTGCTGAAGGCGGGGCGGCCATGGGCCCACTTGAGGAGATGATATGGGTGGCCGTTGTTGTGGTTTTGCAGACTACAGCCGAAATCCATTTTGGGGGTCCCCCTGAAAAAGACAGACCCATATACATCGCTGGTAAGGGGCACCGTATGCTGCATGACGCGATATACTATGAGCTTGCATGCTTGCGTGCGTGTTGCCTGAGTTCTCAACTGGCATGAAGGCAGAAAGGAGATGAACTGGTCGAGGGCGAACAAATCTTACAGTACAAAGACTCGTGAGAGTGGCACCAGAAGAAGCCTCAAAGCTCAATCTCATCATTTTGTTTGCTTTCGCAACTCTGAACTTGTTTCCACGCTGATCTCTGACTCGCGAACTCTGCATGTGAAAGCGAATGACCCATGCCGGGTCGAGAAACCACGACTTACTGCTTGAACGATTTGTTCTGGTGGAGGTGTTTGCGCTGAGTTTGCTGTGAATATAAGCCATTCAGCGGCGAGAGTCCAAGCACAACACATGCTTTCGTTGACTAAACCTACTTGGTCGGTTCACCCTTTGGACCATGTTCTTTGTTTCTTCCTCAGTATAAACAGTTCAGCTTGCAGGGTGTCATAGGCCAAGCTAGGTGACATGTTGCGCCAGTTGAATCCAGTCGAAGGGGCTCCCGGTGCAGGCCTTGACGGTCCTCTTCGAGTCCTCCTACCAGCTGGTTGTCTGGTGACGCCCTCGGCGATCTCTTTGAGGAGCCTCAGAAAACTTGGTGGTTCCCAGCCATCCGGTTCCTTAGCGTTTTAGCTTTTCAGGAATTCGTGGGGATTTCCATTTAACCCACTAAAGTTAAACTTCTAGCAGGGGATCTGAGGGCAGCCCAGAAAAGACATGCGAGCAGACATTTCAGGATGCGAGGGCACTGAATGGCGCATGAGATGTGGCTTGCCCCCGGTTAGCTGCAAGACCGCTGAGAGGCACAAGTTGGAGCGGTGAAAGGTTAAGGAGTTGGCACTTTTAAAGGCAGAGTCAATCACCAAAATCGTGCCGCTTGGCCCACCATTTTGTCACCAATATCTTCCTTTCTGAAACCTATGCACTTTCTCTCCTGCTGCTTTATGCTCATCAGTCAAGCTTTTCCCAGCACGATCCCTGGTGCATTTGCATCCGCTTGCGTACAAATCCCGTATCAACCAGATGCTACAAAGTTTAGGCCTCGCCTTGCCTTCGGCAGCATGTGCGGCCAGATGTGCCCGTTGTCCGCGTTGGCGAAGCTAGGGGCTACCTGAGTATGAACCTGCATGGAGGCTGCACACTCTGGAGGCCCACAGGGTTGATGTTTCCTCCCAGTGAACCAGTTGATGCATTCAGGGGGCATCAGGTTGCCCATTGAAACCACTGGAATTCTTTCTGCTAGCTTTCCAGTGGACTAGAACAAAAGGAAGACGAGATATGTTCCATAGATTTTTGCCCCCTTCAAAACGGCCATCTTTGTTTCATCCAACACCCGTTCAGCGGGGTTGTGGGTGCCAACAGACCCCCGCCAAATAATTTGTTTTTTTCCCCTTTGGTTTCCCTTTAAACAACACCACGAAAAAGGGCTATCCTCCTTCCAAGCATGGAAGCCGACAACTCCGCGTGTTGGAAGGGGCTACTTTCCGTTTGGGGAACCCCCCCCAAAAAAAAAGAAGAGCGAACGTCCGCTTCCACGGTTCCAACCGAGGGAGGTTACCCTCAAAGACGCACATCGCCGCGCGGCCAAAACGCGCTGAGACCCAAGGTTTCTGCAGCAGCACCCGCTCAGGGCCCTGGCAGAGCTCCAGAGCCCGGCAACCCGATCCGATTGGAGGGGGACATGGGGCGACAGCTGGCTCCGGTTTTGGTCGAAAGCCCAACCGTGTGTGTGACCATGGTGTGTTGTGTTTATTCTTGAATGAAGAGAGTTTGCCGTTCTTTCACCCTTTAATCAATATCATGTTTTTGGTACGTTGTATTTAGACTAATCTTCTTTCGGGTTGTTTTCAAGGGGTTACCAAAGACAAATTCAAATCGAGGTGGTCTCCTATCACCGGGGGATCTAGTGGGGAAAGCCAGGATTTGGCAAGGTGGCTCCAAAGCAAGAATCTTTGGTGAGCGACCTTTTTGTTTGAAGCTTTGCCGGTCCAAGTTCGGCCCCGGCCTCCCTCGCTCCGAGGCCTTGACGCCCACATCGAGGCCGTGCGCGTCCCGCGCTGAAAGTTCGGCTCCGCGTGCGAATCGGAGCGATGGAATCTCATCGAGGCCGTGGCCAGGGCCGGCTACTGGAGCGCAGAGGACCTGGCTTTGCCTTGTGGGCATGGGTCAAAATAAACCCAGGGGACCGCAGGTTTTAGTCTTTGGTTCCATTTATCAGGGTTCTATTTTGGGTACGCATATTTGACCCACAGCCATGCTTCCCCGGTGCGAACTACTCGTACTATGCTTACTCTCCCACCTAACATGGAATTCTCCAGAAGGCCCCTTGAAGAGGACAAATTCAAGGAGCTCCAGTTAGGTTCCATGTTGGAAATGTTGGGAGGGTAAATGAAAGCGTATCGAAGATTTCTGCGGATCGGGTTGTGAGAAGGCCGAGTGCCTCAGGATGCGCCCCTGTTGCCGGACTGCGTCGCAACGGGCTCGGACAGTGACGGATCCCCACCAATGAGGATGCGAAATATGGCAAATGCCTAAGCCAGCAGATCACGTGTGCTTGTTCTAAAGCGAGAACGAAGCCGTGCTTCAAGTATGAAGCTATGTTCATTCATTGAGGCAAATCATCTGCCCAGATACCAGAGTCACAAGCAGAGACTTGGAGAAAAGTCGAAGAGTGAGGCTAGTGAAACGTGCGGGCAATATTCATTGTATCCTCTGACATGTCCGGTGTGGGATCAGTGCAATGAGCAATGATTCCAAGTTCCAAGCACTCCGCTGCGGTACGTGCAAGGCTGCGCTGACTGGCACCATGCTGGACGCGGTGGAGGAGATTTTGTTTGGGTACGACTCGACTCCCACACCCCACCAAACACCGAGGTGCTTTGCCCATGGCGTGTCAGAAAGGAATAAGTTGAACATCGTCCATAGCTTGGCCTCGTTTTTTTGTTGGAGCAGGTTGCGTCGTTGATCTTGCACGGGGTGAGTGTAACAGAAAGTCCGAGCCAAGACAGGGCCCAGGAAAAAAACAAAGAATCATAACTTGGCATTCACGGGCTATATGTGCTTTGCCTTGAGACTGGTCTGGCCGTTCCTATGAAATTAGACATGGTGCTGCCAGCCCAAAAGCAGAATGGTGGCGGGTTTTTTCCGCTGCCTTTGCCGCCCACTTGCCCAAAGCTTCGGCAGATCGACACCCATGAAAAGCATTCCAAAGACCCAAGGCTTCTCCAGTGCGAATCCCGTTTGCCATGGTGGTAGAATAGAACGAAGGGACAAAACCAAATGGGAAATCAACCATTTGGGTGTTTCAACTGGGTCCTTTGGAGAAATCCCCCGTGCCAGGGGCACTTGGACTTCTCGAAGCCGCCCAGCGGCTCCGGGCGCAGGGCCGTAGCCCTCAGCTCGTGAGAGCGCATAGCACTGCTTGGCTACTCAGCACCTCAAGAGAGGGCCTTCTTGTTTTGAGAGTAAGAAAATGTTTTGCTAGTGGATTGACTCCACTGTGGGCCAGATGTCATGGTGAAGACATCCAAGCAATTCTGGGATACCCCTTCCATGCACCACATCAGCAACTCACCTCTGACTTGCAGCTCAAACCCGAGGTCGTCGACTTGACCGAGGCGGAAGAGGCGCAAATTGAGCGCTCAACTGAAGACGGGCAGAACGTGCACTGGTTGGAGAAGCTGGTGCAGTGCTTTCCTGTCAAGATGACCTGTATGGATCTCGCAACAGGTCTGCCTTGGAGCAAGCAACCCAACAGCTGGATTGAGGGCCTTGAGTAGCATTGGCTAGAGGGCCTTTGCGGTTGCGTTCTGCGCGAAGAATCTTGGGCTTCTCTTGGAGGGCCCTGGCTTTCTCTTTTTGTTTCCCGTTTCCGTTGTTTTCAGTTTGCCTTTTCTATTTGACGATTAGTTGCCGGGAACGGCTGTAATTTTCATGTACTGTATGCACCGGATGCCCAGGGCTGGTGCCTCACATGATCGAAGGGTCCTTTACATAGGATGACCATTGGGGGAAACCACTGAAAACATGAGGTTTCACTCATGGGGAAGTCACCCCTGATCAAAACCGGGGGCGGAACGGAACATTGATCAACCGCTTCGATCCGCAAAGCGCGCAGATTGCCGCGAGCTGCACAGCCTCGGTGCTGCATTTGATGCTGCGACTCTGGCGGGCTTCTGGCCTTCGGTTGTGTTTCCAGCTCCGAGTTGTCCTGTGGTCCAGAGATTGGGCACTTTTGTGGCGGGCCTAGAAAACAAGAATGACTTGATTCGAGTCAGAACAGGGTCCACCGGAAGTCTATGCTAGCCTTGCGAAGGGGAGTATGCCCTTGATATTTCTTGAACATTTGCAGGGGATCCTTTCAAAACCAGCCTTGTAAAACCTCCGTTACGCTGATTGCACAGCCAGTTGCGCTGTTGCCTTGCGCCTATCTGTCACAACCCACCATACGCGTTTGCCACAACCATTCTGGGAAATGGCCAAGGCAAGCCCCAACTTGAGATCCCAAGCACACCAAGTCAGGCAAGGCATACGTTCTCATTCATTCATACGACGGGCTGCTAGGTGCAACCATCATTCTGTGGTTGCCACTTCTTCCTGAGATGCCAACAAAGTATGTTTGCTTGCAAGGAGAGCGGCCTTTGATGGTTCCATGCTTGCCCGCTCCTTTTTGGCGTGCAGCCTTCCTTTGTCATTTTCGCCGATTTTGGTGAATGAACGATGCTGAAGATCACAATCATGATCTTGACGATGAGCTTAGCACCACCAGCGCCGCCACCACCGCCGCCGCCGCCGCCGCCACCACCTGTCGGCGAGCGCCAGCTGTCGCCAGGATCGACCCTTCGCCCCCCACGGTTCAGCAGTGCCTGGCTCGAAGCCTCGGCCTGGGCCATAGCTCCGGTTCTCGGGCTCCTGGTCGGATGTCTTGGACCCAATTGTTCCATCCGTGCATAGGTCGTAGGTCCTTGGAAATATGGGGGACCGCAGTTGACATCCAAGGATTCAAGTATTGTTTTCAGAGTGACCCTTTTGGGGCTGGCCACCATTCCAATCACCGAGCACCAGAGGTGCATTGGCGCTGGTGCTTTGGCAACCAAGGCAAGCGGCCCAGAGATGGCGCCGGGAGCTTGGGCATACCCATCCCAACCTGCTCCCTAGACATGTTTCACAGCCGACTGCTAGTCTTAGAATAGCCCAGAAGCTGCGCAGTGGGAGTGGCCGTCTGGCTGAGGATGACCTGCCGCCGCTGGAAGAGGCTATGAGTTAGCGACTGCTATATGGGTGTGGCTCAAAATTGAAGAGCTAGGGTTATGCAGGTTTTAGTCTTTGGTTCCATGTACCAAGGTGCCATTTTAGTACATGTTTTTGAGCCACAGCCAAATGATTGAGGGATTTAAGGCGAACTCGCCCTGACACCAATACGCTGTCTATTGTGTATATGCAAACGGGAACTATGAAGCCAAAGAGAAATCGAAGGGCCGCCAACCGTTGGGAGAAGTCTGACAGGCAGTGAGTGTTTCTGGCTTGTCTCCACCTCAGGGGTAAACGGTAAGCTTTCGTTTTCGTAGGGAAGTGATCCACTGGAGGGGAACGAGCAGGGTCCTCCGGATGAATCCAAGTTGACATTGATTTGAAAGGCTTACTTTTTGCCTGCGTGTGCTTTGGGGAAGAATGTTCTGGCTTCCCCAAGAACGACTAGCCATACATGGCTCCAATGATGGGATCCACTTTCCTGGGATATCTAGCCACAAGAAGACAGGCTGTAAATGGCTTGACCTTCCCGTGCAAGGACACTTATGGCCAACCTTTCTCTTGTTGCTTTTCCTTTGCAGGGCTCAACGTTGGTCCTGAAAACTTGCAGTAGGGACTTGTTGTTGCCATTGCAGTTCTGCCCGGGTGTTTGGGAAGGACATGTAGGATGTAAGGCAACTTGTAAGATGCAAAGTGTTTCCACGGAGATTTGTTGTCTTTTGCCTGTGCTTCGCACCGTGCCTGCACTCCTTCAGGCGGATGGATCGATCTCCTCTGAAGAAGCCGTGAATACCTTGATGAAGATCATGCAGGCACCGCGTTTTGCTGGGTGTCTTTGCAGCTGTTCAGTTGGGTTCGGCCCGTTGCGCCGTTAGGCAGGTCTCAGTCGATCCAGAACCCGCTCGCGCGCCAGGTGTTTCCCTCGTCGGATCGGCTCCAGATGAACTGCCAGCATATTCTCACGTCACTCCTTGGGGAGTGAGATTCGCCGAGAGCGTTCCATCACAAGTGGACGAATTTCGCATTTGTGAGTGGCAGGTTAGTGCACACACACGCTGGCCGGCGAGTTTCACGATCAGCTCATGCGACAAATGGCGTCTTCGGCTTTAAGCGTCGCGCCATCGTTTCCGGTGCTGCGATGTGCCTTGTGAAGCAGTCAAATGCCTCAGCTTTATTTCTCAAGGTCAACCATGTTTCGTTGAGACAGTTGCCCAGGCAGACATGTGTGGTTTGCCCACATGAATCGATCTTTTTGCCGTTCCTCGTTCTTGTGTGGCACTCCTGTCTCACGCATTCAATAATCCAGGCCTGCTTTGATGCTGGATATCTGCTGGATCCATTGAATCTTTTTCCGACGGTCGACACAGGACCCCCAGTCAGTCACAGGTCCACTTGTCGCACTCGGACCAACCACCAACCCACCCACCCACCCACCCACCCAGCCACCCACCCACCGGCCCGAAGCCTCGCCGGTGCTTTTCGTCCCATGGCCTTGCGCTGAAGATCAGCGCGGCAAGCTCCGCTAGGGGCGCCTTGGCAAGGGTGACTCGTGAAGCCAATGGCTGTGGCGGTCAACAATAGGCACCCCAAATGGAACCCAGGTAACTGTGAAACGTGGACTGAAACCAGGGGTCCAATTCCTGGTGGTTTAGTTTGGACCCATACCCACATGAGGAGAGGCTGACTCTTGAGAAACAACTCCTTATGCCAGTAGCAGCGAGTCGACCCTAGCAGTATTTCCACTAGCAAATGAGTTTGGGAGCGCATTTGGGCTTTTGTGGCTGTTGCCTCTCCACCAGAAGAATCCTGCACGTCCTTTTGCATGGACCCTTGCATGATCTCATGCTTCTCTGCAAGGAGTCCAAAACGTTGAGATGGCAAGAATTCGCAGTACGCGTGCCATCCGAAGTTGGATCCATTTCCGCGGCCGGTTTTTGGCACGTGCGGCGAAGGAGTCCTTTCTTGAGAGCTTAGGGCTTCGGACCTCCCTGAAGGGCTGTGAATCCAGGGAACATTTCCTTAGCAAAACAAGAAACTGGGACCTTGAATGGCACTTGCTCAAGCTTAAGTCTTGGTTGTATCAGTGTCACTTTCCCAGTACATTTGTTTGTCGTTTTCCAGTTGCATTCTCACCAGACCTGACCATCCAAACCTAGTTCCTTTTTCCACCGTGGGCAACTTGAATTGATGAACGCCTGCGCGAGCGCCAGACGCAACCAGTCTGGCGCCAACTTCAGGAGCTGGCAGTAGCCTATGGCGGCAGCAAGCCCGGTCACCCTGCAGAAGATCGCAGGAAGACATCGAGCAGATGGCAGTTTCGATGGCTGGCCGTTGCTAGACTGCTCGTGTTTGAATACGAGCCACACCAAGACACCTGATAGTGGATCCAATCCTCAATAAAGACAAGGTCAGCTTGCGAGTGGATGGGAGGATTGGAGGGGCATGACTCGGGAACTGGAGGCTTGCTTTGCCGTGTGGACATGGACGCAATGGTGCTTGTTTCCAACGTTCTGCTTGCAGAACTTTGAGCAAGAGAGCCAGTAGGGCTAGCAATCAGAAGCATCTCAGCCTGCCAGCTTGTACTCCATTTCGAGACTCAGACGCACAAGATACCAATTCGCGGCCCTACAACAAGAGAAGAGAAGACTGACACCAGCAGCATTCCTTTGTTTCTTCCAGTTTGCCAAAGCAAGAAGAAGTATCATCAAGCATGACTCCCGAACGAACAGATTTGGGAACGTGGGCAGATGGTGTCCAACCCTAGTTTTGTAGTATTTGGGGAGACGGAGGGACGCTGCCTACAAAGTACACCTTTCATTTTCTGGACCACAAGGAACCAGCAGTCAGGGTCGACACTAGCTTAAACAGCAGTGGGAGAGTGGAGGAAGGAAGCGTACGAGTTCAATATCAACCGACAACCTGATAATGGCGCTAACTGCCTATTGGGGGCCAGTATGGGCCATGAACTGCTTTTGGCTCGTCTCCAAACAAGCAAGCACTCTGGGCCCCTTGCGTTTGTGATCAGGGAGTGAGAAACTGCGAAGGAGGCTGAGTTCCATTGCTGACTGGCGTGGGGCGAAGTCACACACCCGAGTGAAGAACAGCCACAGGTTGGACAGACGCCCCCTCCAGCTCGAAAGGACCAAACTGCTCCTTTGATCTTGGGGTCAGGACCGGACCGTCGCTCGAATCGCTCGTCTCTCTGCAGGAGACTGCATTAAGTCAGTGCGCTCCATTGTGCCTTCCGAAAACGAGGAGGAGGCGGTGGAGCCTCGGAAGGTAGAATAGGAAGATCCGGTCTGGGGGGGTCTAGGGGCCAGGGGAGGGTGGAAAAGAGGGAAGCGATGCGGCTGAGATCACTTTTGGATTGCTATGATTGAGCGATTCTCTATTGGGTCCATGTTGGAACAGAAGTAGAGATCCGTGACAAGCTTCCAGCAAAGCTAATGGCCGCTGACAAAGGATGCATGCCCCAATCTATGTAAGATAGGAGCACAGCACGTACTACCTTTCTCAGTTTGCTGAGTAGATGCACCACCTTAGTTTCGACACATCCCAGGCTTTGCAAAGGCCTTGGAAATTACATAAAAAGCAACATATTGGTGTTTCTGGCTATGTCGCATTCGCAAAGCCTTTTCTATGCCGGCAGAGAGGCGATCCGGAACTCAGGAGCTGATTGTGAACATATGGAACACCCTGGCCACGCAATCGGCACACAGCGGCTTGTGCCGCATGGAAGCGCTGTGAGGCTTTGTTCACGTCAGTCCGGGGGAGTGGGCAGAAAAGAGGCGCCAAGAGGCGCCAAGAATCCAAAGGGGCCACGCCTTTTCGGTTCGTGCCAGCATAAAATTTGCGGGTGTTCCCCAAGTTCTGAGAGTTTCTCCCAGTGCAAATGCATCACTCAACTCGAGTCGCACTTTAGGCACTTGGGGTTGGATCATTTTGGTAGACCGACAGCTTCATCCGTCTCCTGGTCTCTTTCTTCCGCCCGTCCGCGCTCAGGCCTCAAAGTGGGCAAGTCGATGTCGTTGATGCCGCTGGGCCCCTCGCCAAAGGCTTAAAGGGAGCACAGGGAGCACAGGGGTTGACGGTTGGATGCTCAGCCGCACCGGATAGGAGCGGTTTTTTTGTTTTGTTTTGCGTCTTTGCGTCTTTTCCCTGGTCTGAATTGGGATCTTTGGGATTTGAATAGATTTGACGACATCCTCCAGACAAGTGCCTTGCTGCCTTGCTGGCTTGCTGGCTTGCTGGCTTGCTGGCGCGGTCTCGAGTAGGGTTGATACCCAATCCGTCGGAATGCCGCTTGAGTTTGCTCTTCTTGGCTACCGCCATTGATTTTGTCCTTTTTTGCCTCACCAACATCTCTGTCTTAATTAATTACATCTTTGGGATTTGAATAGATTTGACGACATCCTCCAGACAAGTGCCTTGCTGGCTTGCTGGCTTGCTGGCGCGGTCTCGAGTAGGGTTGATACCCAATCCGTCGGAATGCCGCTTGAGTTTGCTCTTCTTGGCTACCGCCATCGATTTTGTCCTTTCTTGCCTCACCAACATCTCTGTCTTAATTAATTAAGTCTTTGGGATTTGAATAGATTTGACGACATCCTCCAGACAAGTGCCTTGCGGTCTCGAGTAGGGTTGATACCCAATCCGTCGGAATGCCGCTTGAGTTTGCTCTTCTTGGCTACCGCCATTGATTTTGTCCTTTTTTGCCTCACCAACATCTCTGTCTTAATTAATTAAATCTTTGGGAATTGAATAGATTTGACGACATCCTCCAGACAAGTGCCTTGCTGGCTTGCTGGCTTGCTGGCTTGCTGGTGCGGTCTCGAGTAGGGTTGATACCCAATCCGTCGGAATGCCGCTTGAGTTTGCTCTTCTTGGCTACCGCCATCGATTTTGTCCTTGCCTCAAATTCTCGACGACATCCTAGCTTGCTGATATCCGTAACTTCGGCTACCGCCATTTTGTCCTTTCTTGCCTCACCAACATCTCTGTCTTAATTAATTAAATCTTTGGGATTTGAATAGATTTGACGACATCCTCCAGACAAGTGCCTTGCTGGCTTGCTGGCGCGGTCTCGAGTAGGGTTGATACCCAATCCGTTGGAATGCCGCTTGAGTTTGCTCTTCTTGGCTACCGCCATTGATTTTGTCCTTTTTTGCCTCACCAACATCTCTGTCTTAATTAATTACATCTTTGGGAATTGAATAGATTTGACGACATCCTCCAGACAAGTGCCTTGCTGGCTTGCTGGCTTTCTGGCTTGCTGGCGCGGTCTCGAGTAGGGTTGATACCCAATCCGTCGGAATGCCGCTTGAGTTTGCTCTTCTTGGCTACCGTCATCGATTTTGTCCTTTCTTGCCTCACCAACATCTCTGTCTTAATTAATTAAGTCTTTGGGATTTGAATAGATTTGACGACATCCTCCAGACAAGTGCCTTGCTGGCTTGCTGGCTTGCTGGCGCGGTCTCGAGTAGGGTTGATACCCAATCCGTCGGAATGCCGCTTGAGTTTGCTCTTCTTGGCTACCGCCATCGATTTTGTCCTTTTTTGCCTCACCAACATCTCTGTCTTAATTAATTAAATCTTTGGGATTTGAATAGATTTGACGACATCCTCCAGACAAGTGCCTTGCTGCCTTGCTGGCTTGCTGGCTTGCTGGCGCGGTCTCGAGTAGGGTTGATGCCCAATCCGTCGGAATGCCGCTTGAGTTTGCTCTTCTTGGCTACCGCCATCGATTTTGTCCTTTTTTGCCTCACCAACATCTCTGTCTTAATTAATTACATCTTTGGGATTTGAATAGATTTGACGACATCCTCCAGACAAGTGCCTTGCTGCCTTGCTGGCTTGCTGGCTTGCTGGCGCGGTCTCGAGTAGGGTTGATACCCAATCCGTCGGAATGCCGCTTGAGTTTGCTCTTCTTGGCTACCGCCATTGATTTTGTCCTTTTTTGCCTCACCAACATCTCTCTCTCTCTCT